TTAGGTCCCAACCTTGCAAATAACCACACATTTCACTTAACACACAGAAAACACGGACATGCAAATTTATACACACATGACTGGCTTGTGACAAATGCATTTAAAGTGGTCCTAAACTCTAAAGGACGTTCCTGTGCCATTCCTGTGAGTGAAGGGTGACCTTTTGCATTCATTCTCAGCACTACTGTTCTTCATATCAACCCAGAATTTGTGATTGAGAACAACTTACAGCTGCAGCTTTCAGAAACACGAATATAACTCCTCAAGTGGTTGCTCAACGCTGAAGTACAGGAAAACATAAAACTGAAGTCTGTCAATAAATTTGCAGTATTATCAAGGATCTAATCACACCAGCAGATAGTCTAAGAATGCACACAAAGCAGTTATTATCTTTCAGAATAATTATCTTGGTCAGTCTAGTCTAAATGTGTTGGCATCAGAAAGAAAAAAGGCTTTTCAAGAGATCTTTTTTATCTTCTAAAACAACATACAAAAATAAAAACCCACAGAATTTGTTAAGATGTAGCATTGAATAACATCTTTTTAATGGCTGAAATAAAAATAGTGATAATATATATCTGTCATGTTAGCAGAGAAGTGGATTTTAGCTTTTAAAAATCTTTCAACTTTTCTAAAAGAAAAAGCTATTGCCCAAGACCCTTGGGATCATACCATTAAAAACAAGCTTTTTTTAATGAGATACTACTTTTGTTTGATTTAACCAGTGCTGGAAGACATAGTGTTGCTTATTTTCACTCAAAATCTTGCATTATCGAGTGACGAGATGCACATACAAATCCAGTAGCACGAAATGGCCTGGATTAAGTTGCTTGTTAAAAGCATATTGCTGTAGCACTGCAAAAGTTTCTTTAAAAGGAAATACAAAGACACATCAAAAAACCAATCCTACTTTAGTACTTGCTGGGTTTATGATCTGCAAGAAAGCTAGTTGAACCACTTTTTTTTGATCAATTTTACCAATAAACAAACCACAGCTTTGCCTGCAACATCTGAAACAGCTACATGTTCTTCCCTTCCCCTTTGATTTCTGCAGCACCTTATTCTAGCACTGCTTCTCCCTTGCCCCCGCACCCTTTCTCTACTGGGTTTCTTATGAGCCTCTGATGCAGCCATCAGTGAAACCACAAGGATGCTCATGCATACAGAAAGAGCCCTCAGCAAAGCAGCAATACATAGAAGAATAAGCTCAACAGCTTACAGTGCACTGTATCACTGACGTGTACAAGAAACTCAACCCTACAATAAGCCTCGGGTCTTTTCTACAGTTTTACTGGGCCAGAGAGAGTGAGGTCTTCAAATCACTGGTGAACTTCAATGAATTCTGCCTCAGGCACTGCCTGCTGATGTACCCAAGGGATAGTCTAAACTAATTTTGTACTAATGCAGTTATTTAGCAAAAGATTTTAATCACCATCTGACAAAGCATCAACTTCTAGGATAGAGTTGGATTTGCATGCTTCCATGGTAAAGCATTCCCTTAAAGTACCAGATATGACCAAAATGTGGGAGACTGCCACCACAAACCAACCAAAACAAGCCTTATGGTGCATGTGTGCAAGGCTTAAACCAGATAGTATCTTCACACATATCAGCCTAAAACACTTTGAGCAATTAGTCTTTTTAAAACTTCATTATAAAACCACAATCAAGAAGTCTACAGTGACACTGAGACATCCATGCTGTGCTAGATAGCAATATTACATTCCTCCACAATGCCCTTCAACTGAGAAGCACTAACCAGATTTTCTGTCAAAGTTCACTCCTTCGGCCCTTGTCTAAATTAGATATTGCTTTAATAGCAGCTGTCCCATGAATCCATGTAAACAGATTAGCCACAGAGATGCAGTTTATGCAGTTTCAAGACAAAGAAAGGAAGCAGAATAAATTAGAACATAGAACAGCTCTTTAAATGCCCTTTGCAAGCAAGGAAAATTCTGATACTATACCCATGAATCAGGATCCTAGAGGCAGAACTTGGAAATTAAGTTCCTCATATAACCCTGATGATTTCATAAAGGATCATATACATTCCAAACTTTAGAGATAAGCAGTGTTAAATATTAATATCCCTTTTGTTACTTTATTGTTGCCTTTACTGAAGTACAAATAATCGAACAGTAGCAGAGGGCATGTGGATTCTATAACACCACATTTTATGCATAGAAACTGACAATGAACATGTCAGGAATTAAGTGAAAAAGCCAGAGAAGCTCTAAAGCGAAGGGTATCTGAAAGCCTAATCATAAATCAAAGTAGTTTTGAGATAAACTTGTAATCTGCAGTTCTAAATATATTAAAGCTGACTGACTGAATTATTAATAATCAGAAATACTGATAGTGACCAATAGTTTCACTTAGTGAGACCAGCATGCACTTTGAATTCTGCTTTACATTTTAAAATGGTATATTTACTACTTGTTGCAACTGCAGGTTTTTTTGTGGAGTTTTGTTTTTTAAAGTAAATAGTCTACAATGAAAATCTCAACAATAATGAGCTGTTCTTCCCAGTCTACTTTCCCTCTTGGATAAGCAAATCCATTGGTACAGATAACTTCTTAAGACATCTTTGAGGTCTCCAGCACATGTTCAAGTCCGTTTCTATGTCACAGCTACATTCCGAGCCTGCAGTGCTAAAGGACTTCAACACTTCATGAGAAACCTTACTCAGCGGTGACTACGAAGGGGATTTCTCAGACTAAGTCATACTGATCGTGTACAAAGCTTTAAGAGCTCACTCTTGGAATAAGAGAGAAGCTGAAGCTTCAGAAAGACAAGTTTCCGTCCTGCAGCAAATTTCATCACATGGGCACATTGCTGCTGCTGCTATCTCAGTCCCACGTGTCCTCCCCTCCCTGCCCTCCCAGACAATTCTGATCTCTGTAAGATACTATCAAAAATCTACTTCTCCACCTTCATAAAAGACTATCTGTAAAACAAGATGTAAATTGAGGTGCCAGACTATTTTTAATACTACTTTGATTTCGTTTCTAACATCCAAAAATAGATCAACTACCCTACTTTAAACTTCCAAAGTAAGCTGATAAAGCTCTTCAAAACCATTTACCTTTCAAATAATAGAAATATCTATATGAAATTAAAATATTTAGTTGGAAGTATTACAGTGATTTTAAAATGAGGAAAATCTTTACAAGATGAGGACAGTCTTTTAGAAGCTTGTTACAATAGTGAAAACATCCATGGTGCATATTAAAATGCATGTGAGGACATGTATGTTACTCCCTCAGCTATCCTCTCTAAATGGTATACTCACCATATTAATTAGGCCTGTCAGTACATCCAAAATTTTGTTAAAATGTAGTAAACCAAAGCAATAGACTGTTTTCATGGCAAGAACACACATTACTCTCTTATCAGTTATGCCATTGCAAAAAAAAAAAAAAAAAAAAAAAAGAGAGAGAGGGAGAACAGAAAGAAATCAAGAGATTAAATACTTTAGTTTTCACAGTAAAAATTAACACAGTTTGAAGAGAAATTTTCCTTTGAACTTGCCAGGAAAAACAAATGAAAACTATCAGCATATGGATTTGAGAAAAAGAGCAATGTTGGCATGGTGACCAGACTGGAGGTTCACAAAAATATCTTGTCTTTAACTTCACGCAGCTTTTTAAAGAAGTTTTTGTTGTGTCAAGCTATGTTGCAGCACTGTTTGAAAATGAAAATAAAAAACACTACCACAAAACCCTCTGCTGCCACACTTCTGCCCTCCCAGTAAGGTAAACGTTAATAAAAGAAAACAGACAACCAGAGAAAATGGCAGAGATTAGAGAATCCTACCAGTGCCTGTAGAAATAGGGCGTTTCCCATGTTTTACCCAGTCCCTTTCCCGCAAAGTTACACCTACAAGTAAGCAGACTCTAGCAGGGGCCAGAGCCGTGTTGTTCAGCAGCTAGTAACTCTGCAAGCCCTCACTTCCCACAGAGCTATCCAACAGAGGTGTGCAGCTTCTTGACAACAGCCAGCCAGACCATACCGTAACACTCAGCACTCTCTATGTACAAGAGCAAATAAACCATTCAATGGCGCTTGACGAGAGAAGTCGTTCAGATGACTGACGGAACTGCCTCACAAGCCAGCTAGGTGTCAGCCACCTGACACACTTCTCACGGGTGGTTACTGGCTCCTGCAGATAGTTCTTTTGCTACCTCAAGTAGTGCTCAACCACTCTTGGTCCCCTGATCCTTACCACCAGCTCTTAAACTCTCTCTTGGCACGCTCCTAAAAAAAGAGTATTTGTGAAGTGAACAGTGGGATAAAGTAAATAAAAACAACCTCTGAGCAGTTTGAACGTAGTCCTAGTCCCATGTATGAATTGCAGGACTTTCACAGACCATTTGTTTCTCCTTTATATAGTGGCTGGTGTTAAGAGAGCCTCACTACATGGGAGGACTTCCTGAGTGCTATCCCAATTAGCACCACTTTGCTCAAGCAGATGCTGGCGTTTTGCTGCAGACTGAAGTATGCATTCTAGAAGAAAATTTGAAATAGTTCTGGTGCAGACAACCAACAGGCTGGGTCCACGTAAGCCAGCCCAACTTACAAATGCAGTGCAGAGAAACCCAGCCTAATCCCGCGCAGCCAGGAACCAGCCCAAGCACAGTGCTGAAGCCAGTCAAGCTTTGCTCACTCGGCACCATGCTGAAGTGGCTGTACAGCCTTTTGGCCACAGTTGGTGAATTCACACCGCACTTTCTTGCATTTCCTAGCACTACAGAGGTAAGTTTTGCAGCACAAAAATGTTCTTTCTGTAACCTCACTGCATCAATACCTGGAAAGTTACAGTTTAATTTTATCAGAGCATACAGTTTCCAAAACAGGGGTTTATTTATCTATTTCACCAGATTCTCTCCAGCACCTCCAAAAAACAGAGTAAGAGCTGTTAGTTAGCACTAGTGTTTTGGCTCATTTCTCACTTCCCTCAGTCACGTACAATATTTAATCAATCAAGACAGGCTCCTCACCTCTTGAGGAAGTTCCAGCTTAGACCTGTCATCCAGCCCATTAGAGTGCAAGCCCATGAGGTAAGGGACAGGAGCATCTAGAAAATGAAGGAGGGATGCTGGAAGGATAGGAACATATACATGCTGCCACTGAAATGGAAACATTAGTGCTGTGATGGTCTCTGCCACAGTCATCAGTCTCTGATAATCTGAAAAAGATCAAGAAAAAAAAATATTTATTTCACAAACATTTTAAGTAAATGAATCTAAGTTAAAGATGAGAGCTTGCTTTAAAACAGAAACCACAAAACCCCGTATTAGCTGAGCAGCATCTTAATGACAGCCCAGACATGTACACCCAAGCACATTTTGCTGAAACAACAGAGAGCTTGACACAAAGTAGGTCATTCTACAAGTCATATGGAAATGAGCAAATTGAGTCTTAGCATCCATTAAGTCACCCTCTGCTACCTATACCAGGGTTACCAGGAACATCAGTTTAAGTATGGAAGCAGTATTGTAAGCAGCTAAGAAACACATCGGAAATAATTTCTTTTCTCTGTGCTTATGGCTTTCTATGGAAGCCTTGGATGAAACCCAAGGCATCTGGTATCTCTCAGATAAACATTTTTTAAAAGAGTGTTTAAATGTCCATAAAGCATGCCATATAGTAGCCAACTGAACAGCCCAACTGAAATAACTGTGTAGAAAATAAGAAGGATCAGCTTCATTTATCCTTTGCAATGTATGACCGAAGTCTCAGTTCAATGTAAAAACAACTCATCCCCTCCTAGAATTTAACAGCAGTGCTAAATGCACCTGTGCAACATGCATACCAAAAGATCTTTTTATTCAGCAGCTGGTGGCTAGAGCAGTTAACATTGCAGTACTCTGGGCCAAAACCTCGCCCTCCTCTTTTACAGTACAGAATCATCTTTAATGGTTTTTGATATCTATGCACGATAAAGGAGGAGGAAACACCAGCTGAACTCAGAGCATGTGATCTAATATAACTGCTGACACATTCAGAAAGCTTTCGAGCTGCCAGGCTGGTAAGAGCATAAAACAAGATCACAAGACTAAGACAATTCCTACCTTCAGTCAAGCTATAATGACACTGCAACAATATCCAATTCCAGCCAGGGAAGGGAAGGGAAGAAATAAGAGGAAGGGAAAAAATCAGTATCCTTCATATGTGTGTTGAAGTACGCATGTCTTCTAACACGTTCATAAAACTACAGACACTATGAAATTGGAAAAGACACTTGAATGCACAGGTTCCAGTGTTGAGGTTTCTGAAGCTGTCACACACTGTTGCAGAAAAAAACTGCAAAAAGAACATTTGTCCTAAACAAATGTTCTGGAGCAAAATTTGAACTCAGCTGTGCAATTTCTAGGGTTATGGCTTTAATTTTGTTCTTTAGCCATCCTCCACTCAGACTTCAGATAGCAGAAGACAGAGGGCCAAGAAATGCAGCTCCTGGCATTCCATGATTAAATTTGAAGTCAAAGTTGCGGAGTTTGAGGTCTGCAAAGAGTCCCACAACCCAAGAGGAACTCAGCACAAGTTTTGCTAAGATCAGTCATAATTCTGCAATCTAGGCTTTGATTTTTATTTTCAGATCAAGCTCTGCTGGTGGAAAAAGTTACCGCACAGGCACAGAACTACTTGTCACTGCCTCACAGTAGATCTACTGTGACTGAAGAAGCCTTCAATCAAAACAAGCCAGAATAGCTTAAACAGTTTAAAGTTTTTGCCAAAAGCTTACTTGGACTGAAACACGTTAGGGAACAATCAATGAACATCACCAGCAGTACTCCCCTAATTCTGCCTGGACAAGTTTCTGCCTACACAATTACTTACTGGTTTGCAGCTTTAATCACAGCCTGACTGAAAAGAAGTGATGAATTAATGATAAGCTTTGGGAAGAAGAAGCAGCCATTCCATACCCTATTTTCTTCAGCTTTAAAAGGAACTTTAAATGTAGCCATAGATACACAAACATTCCAGCTGTTTGGTATTCAGCCTGTTTATTTGACAGAACAAGTCTCAGAATAGAAACAGTGTTTTCCTACTACACAACCCCCCCCATCTAATCCTGCTGGCTAATTTAAATACAACTTCTCTCTCTGTCATTAAGCTAACTTTAGTATTAGCCTTTCTAATTAACTACAAAGTAACATCAATAATTCAGAATTTCTCTCCACTCAGCAGCTACCTCCCGCAACTCAGTTATCTGCAAATGTGGCGCTCTCATCCTGGATATCCACATGGCTTAAGCCATTCCCAACTACTTGGCTGCACAGTCACAGCCTGCAAGTAACAATGGCTACATTCTGCAGGCTTTAGGCGCATCAGGAGATGTCAGCAAAAGGCAAGGACAAAGGCAAGAAGGCTGCAAACACAAACCAAAATAACTTAAATGTTTTCTTAAGTTATACCTATCCTGAGAGGGTATGGAGGTTTTTGTTTGTTTATTTTAAAAAAAGAAGAAAGCAGCACACTTCTAGTACCAAAGCATTACATAAGAATTAAAAATAAAAGTAATGAAAAATTTAAAAGAGGGAATAAGTGCTTCAATAGTGGTCTTGCTCTTGTTTTTGAAACCAGAATATACTTATTCTTGTGCAAATGACACAGAGTCTTTTGGCCTTGTATGGTACATACCACTAGTGCACTATTACTTTGGAAAGTTCTTAACTGATCACTGTGCAAGGAAAAGAAAATCTGCTACTTTCTAACATGGCCACTTAAGAACACAGAAAAAGGTTGATTTTTTCCTTCTAACCAATTACTATAGGTAAAATACATTATCTCTTAAAGTACATAGGAGATGTTATTTACACTAGTATTTATCTATATCTAGTATATTCAGACATTTTTGTTGATCTGTAAAAAGCAAGTAAATCCAGGAAAAAAGTGAGAGGTCTTGGGTCTAGAAATAGAGGAGCAGGATGGAAAGAAGGTGGCAGCTGTAAGAACCATGATTCCACATCTCCATTCTCTCATTCTACCAGACAGAAGTCTATCAAGTGCCTACAGAAATTGACTTGGCCAAATTTAAAGTTATAACATGATCATATTCTGTATTTTCTTTTTCCTTCTGATCTTCCTATTTCATGGATGACAATGAAATACTGTTGTATTTGTCAAGTAATTTCCATTTCACATGCAACTCCCATATTGCTGCTTTAATGCAGAGAGTTGCCCCCACAGTGAGGAACATTACTACAGATGAGTTTGGAGATCTTCAGAAAGTATACAGATAAACCAGAAAGATGGGCTACTTGTCAGGATTAAGCTTCTCTTTAACCTGAAGAGGAGCAGAAGGGGAAAGAACTATATCCACAGGGCCTATGGACAGGTAGCATGCAATGCAGTTGAGCCACTGGAATAAAGCATTGCCTGGAGAGTTTCCTTTAGCAGGCCTGTTCATAGCAGAAAGCACAGTGTAAAAGAAACATGTTTCAACAAATTCTTCTAAGCACAGGTATTCAGTATGTCAGACTCCTTAGAGAAAAGATACATTTCTTGAATTGGGCCTTTTACCTCAAAAAACTTGTAACTGCAGTAAGAGAAAACTGTGGTTAGTAAAACCAGTGGTCAAAGCACTTCCTATTCATGCTCATTTCTGACAGGCTAATTCAAGATGCCTGCACTAAGCAGCGAGTTTCCTAAATCACTGGAGGCATAAGAAGAAAATGTCCTATGTAAGAGACTAGAGTTGGGCAACACGGGACTAATATTGCAAAGAAATAAAACTAATACTTTAAATTTCCAGAGCGAACATAATTCTTGAAGAAAGATGGGGAGAAGGGATTCAAAAGCAAAGCAAAGCAGAAAAACACACCTTTATTTGTACTTAAATATGGCAGCAGACAGCAAATACCCAAAAAATAACAACTGTTCAAGATCACAGTCTGTGGCAGTGGTACATTATATTTCTCCTTTTATTGTTTTTAGCTGTTTAGAAAAATCTCCTTCAAGCAGATTTCACAGTTGTCTTAACTCAGTGTACACTTCTCAGAAGAGCTCTAGGTGCCTTCCAGGGATAAGCAATAAGTCTATTTCACAGATACAAGAGCAACATAAATTGCAGGAACACAAACCAGCTCCCGCAGAATAACCTGGTGAAGGCACTACTGAAAGCCTCCTCTCACTACTGAGAGCTCCTCAGGACTGGCTCAGTGCTAGGAGCTGCTTCAGATTCTTTGTTGTCTTATAGGCACCTCCATTCCTCTAACACTTTCCCAAATGGGAGACAATTCTCTCAAGAGGACAATCAAATCAAGGAATTCATTCCCTACATTTGGCTTACACTGATCCAAAACATACAGGCTGTACCAATATGGTGGGACAAAAGAATTTCCAGAAGCATAAAGTCAGAAACACATCAAAAGAATCTTAAAGCAAAACACATTCAATGCCAAGGGAAGTTACCCCTATTCCAAGGACTGACTGCAACTTAAGATGCTAAATAATTTGTTTCAAAAAGGATTGCATCTGGCAGCAAAGTGCTCCAAGAGTTTTGCTCGTGGTTTGTTTTGGGTTTGTTTTTTTTTTTTAAAGTCTTACAAGCAAACCCTCTGATCCTGACACATGCTGTTCTAAATCTAAATCCACCCAATGAGTATCGCCATCTCATGTGACCTAGAAAATAGAGAAATGATCCCAACCACCTCAACTGTCACAGGTTTGAACACCAAGAGATTTAACAAATCTAAAGGACATTAAAAAAAATTTAAGATTCATATTTTGAAGGACAACCTAGACCTCACACGCATGTGCAAGAACGTGAGCAAGCCCTTACAAAAGTTCAAGCAATTTCTGATTCCACTTAGAACTGACTGCACCATCACCTGTATCTACATTCAACATTCCTTGTTTTACAAACAGCAAAAAATGGATGTTAGTCAACCATATAGAAGAAAGAACAGAATGTATTAGGAGCATATTCCAATTTAAAAAACAAACAAAAAAGTAAACACAAAAACCTAAACAAACCAAACGAAAGCTGCATGGAGCCCTTTGAATTCCCTATGTCTGTGCACGCAAACAACAAATCCAAGTGTTCCAAAGCTATTTTAAGCTTCTTTAATTAGCCACTGATCAGACAGTTGGAAAGCGCCCAAGGAAAAAAGTTGAACCTATTAATATGACTTGGAAAGAGAACCCAGAATACAGAAGACTAGCCCAGAAGCGAGCTGAGTTCCAGCCCAGGAGAAAAGAGGCAATGGCCTGAAAAGAGATCAGGGAACGCTGTTCTGATACGGCGATACACACATTGCTTTTCTTGCGGTGCTTCCAACCAGCCAGGCACACACAATTCTGCCATAGGAGGTCTCAAGCACAATTACAGGCCAGCTGGACTGCGTTCTTCTTCAGATGGAAGAGCTGATGTTTGAACCTTCTACTGGTGGGATACAGATATCCACATAAACAAATTCTCCCTAAATCTCAAATATATAAATGTCAAATCCATTTCTGGAGAAACCACAAAAGTAGTTTGTCTGCTAGGCAAATATTTCTAGATTTTCTATTAATAATAAGAAAAGCAATTTGTTTTTTAAATGCAAGAGAATAACCACTATTGAGTACAATAAGGTTTTCTGACTGTGTTTGAATTACTGTATAGTTTTTCTCTGGTAGTTAGAAGTGTTTATACAATGGAACAACTGTGACATAATGCCCTACTGCCATTATACACTTTTAATCAGCTTGACTATACACACAAAATCCATCTTTGGCTTTAGTCTATGCACACAGATCAACACACAAACATCTGTAGTTCATGCTTGGAGAATGTTGCTAATAACTGCAGGTTATATTTTACAAATAGTTACCATTTGTATTCTACATATCTCAGCGACAGCTCAATGGAAGAAAATATTGAAAACAGATTTCAGTAACACCACGGACTATCCCTGGATTTGTCTTGAGGTCTTCTAGGCTTCTTTACCGTTACCATAAGTGTTCAAAATGCAGTCTGTCTACTTTAAACCACACCACTATGGATGGGTGGGTCTGGACTAACGTTAGCCAGCTTGGGACAAAATAAGTAGAAAAATTATCTTTTGGCAAAACTCCACGTACTCTGTATTAGAGTAACAGGATGAAGAGTAAGAAATGCAGTATTCACAAATTTCAACACAGAAAATGGATACCACTACCTCATTATTTATTAATTGATAAACAGATGCTATTTCAGCTTAGCTGCTGCCTATCCTCTTCAAAGCAAGCTTTATCTACATGACTTCAGCAATAACTGTTTCAAGGCCCTAACAGAGATTTGCAGTTTAAGTTCAGTCAAATAAAACTGTTTTTCAGGTAATTTTATTTCAAAGTAACAACTGAAGTGTGGCTTTGTGTACTTAAAGAGAAAATTATGTTTGCATCATTAATTCTTCTTCAGAACCATATATAATTAACCACATATCTTCTCAAAATGCATGGACAGTTTGGCAGAGATAGGAGGGAACTCAGCTAAGCGGCTGGAGAGGGAGAAGGCATACTACTCTGTGCAACAGCACATTTCCAGAGACAACAATAAAAAGGACAGTTAGTCCATGAATACAGGAGGTTATGTGAAAGCCATAAGTTTTAGGTTTAGATGTCTCAAACCAGGAGCTAATGCAAAGCTCTCCTTGCAACTCCAGTTCTTTCCTTTACATTAAAACCTGCACATAGATCAGCCTGACTGCATTAGCATGCTAATGCCACTTTAATGCAGATATTCTGCTGTTTGTGTGTTTTTTAAAATTCAAGAAACAAAAAAACCCTTGTGCCAGTACAACTACAAGATAAGAAAACAAAACCCAAGTACTCACGCTGTGAATAAAGCAGTATCTGAAATTCCAAGAGGGCACAGGTAAAGAGTTGAACCACATTTTCTACTCCAAGCAATTCAAACACTTCTTTAACTGGAAAATCAAATAATGGTAGTTCACTGGTGCTTGGCCTCTGGCAGATAATTGGTCCATAAACACCTGAAAATTTTAATGACCTTCCTGCTGGAGGAAGAGGAACCTCATAAAGAATATTGTAGATGTAGCTTTCTAAAGGTAGAGGTGGTGGCTGAGGTGAAGTCACTGCTTGGTGAAGTTGTTCTAGCACTTTCTTACAAGCTTTCATAAAAGACATTGGAGTAATCAGACAAATGCACTTTGAGACATACAGTGTGTCTCTGCTGATGTCATAGGAGTTAAAACGCTGTAGCTTTGAAACAGAAGTGCCATTGCAGTCTCCAGTGCTGCTGCAGCAGCTATCTTTATCATTTGTGGGTGGAGTATGAAGAATGTCATATTCAGCGTTGTGCATATGATACAATGTCTGCATTGCACTGCAGATCTGTTTGCTAGTAACTTCCTCAAAAAACGTGAGAGAAAATCCAAATGTCCGTGAGCCATCTTCACGAGTAATAATAAAAGAGTGGAACTGAGGTTCTCTGGAATCTGCTTGTGTCTTGAAAGCAAGCCCTTTAGGCATACACAGCTATAAAAAAGAGGGGAGGGGAGATAATATCAATTAAAACACACTTTTCTCTCCCCCTGCCTCCAGAAGCATTGGTGAAAATAGGATTTAGAATCCACAGGCTGCCACTCAATGCATTTCACTTTAAATTCTATTAAGTGTTACATCTCTGTACAATACAGTAATATGCATCTAAAGGAGAAAAACTAAAGGAACATATTAAGAGCTGTATGCAGTTTCTATTGAAATTCATAACTGTGTTGTTATCAATCTCAGCTGGAATAAAATAACAGAATTCAAATCAGATAAAGGAAAGTATTTTGCTCACCAACAACAGAAACCTGACACAGAAAAGTACAATATTTAATCTAAATTAAGAAAACACACTGCATTCTATTAAACAGAAAAATCATGCACAAAGAAGATTCATTAATTGCAACCCAATTTACTTCTCTATCAATTCTCTAGAATGTAACAACAAAGTTGTAAAAGAACAAAAAACTCTCCTAGGGACTTGTCACTTAAGTTCTAACTTAAATTCCTTCAAAAAATATTCCAATTAATTGAAAAGGACTTTTGAGCCTGCAAAATTTAGAGAAACTCATTATTTCTAGTCTATAATAGACTTCACACTTTTTTGTCAAAGAAAACACAGATGAATGCCTTCGATTGTTAAGGTAGGTTTTTGTCTTAAAACCAAAACCATTAAGTGATACTGACCATTCCCACTGCATCCTGGTCAAAAGGGTTCCATTCAACATTCTCAGGATAGCGAGCAAGAACTTTGGATTTAAATGTGCGTCTTAATGGAGTCTGTTCAAAGTTTTCCCCTGCACGTGAAAAAAAATACAGAAGTAAGTATTTCATTCTCTTTTTAAGCTCAAACAAGGCCAAAAAGCAGGACATCAGCAGGTAGATGCAAGGATAAGTGAATTAAGCACACACTCCTTTTAGGTGAAACAGAAAAGGCAAGACAGTTAGTTAGCATATAATCAGACTGCAGATATTAGCAAGGATTAGCATTGTAACGTTTCTATGTCAGTAAGTATCTGTGCTTTTCCTTAAATGCGACTATCTTGAGATTGTGGTCATGACAGCAATTCTCTAAGCTATTCTTCAGATATTTCAGATTCTTGTTAAAGCATAGCTAAAGCTTCAGTTTTGGTGAAATTTTGTTACTGAAGAAAAGCACAAATAGAGAAGATGCAAAGATGATGCAAGTTTAAAATAGACATGTAAGTGACATCACTTAATTTCTTCTTCAAGACTTAGGAAAAAAGGGTATCCGCCACCTATTACAAGAGGTTAGCTGTGAGGAGAGAGTCTAGAAGGTTAAAAGATCAAGAACCACATAAATGCCCATGAAGATAGGGTATCAGATGAACAAAGAATTCTGCTTTTTTCTTCCCCACGCTTTTTCCTTTACCTTCTGTTGCACTTGAAATGAAACGGCTGACACCATCTCGGGTTTTAGAGGCCTGTATATACTGGCATAAAGCTATATAACAAATAAAAACAACACTGCATTATAAATTTCATACTGTCAACTGTAATTACGTAGCTAACACATACCAGTAATAAACATACAAGCATTCTATACAGAATTAGTATGCATAACAGTCTACTCTCCTAATATTCTTTTTATACATATACAATTTTATACAAATTTCTCATTTCAGGTACATATTTCTTGAAGGAGATGATCAGTACATAATGAAAGCTCACGGTTCCTGTATACACAACCAGAATACTGATGCAACAATAGGAATTAGTTGCTTGTTAAATGAAATTTTTACATGTTAAACTATAAAATACTCCCAAAGAACAGATGACGAAACTAACCCCAAGAACAAGACCACTTCAAGCCCTTTAGAATGATATGAATTTAAGTCGCATGGTCCAACCTTTCACAGATGCTATCCATACACTAGACTGGCTGATACGGTCTTGTTTATAAGCTCTCAAACTTCCTCTAGAGCAATGATAGTTCATTGTGATACCATAGAACTTCCTGCAGTAAATCTTCAGAAAGCATGTAGTTGCTTTAAAAAAAAAAAAAAGCACACAACTGCACATCTTAAAATAAGCTTAGCTATCATACTAGAATGCAATTAGCTAAATGGGCATGCAACTGTTGACAGCTGCACTAACAATCAGGCACAATTGCATGAAATCATATGCTTTAAATAAATTGAACTATTTCAGCAACACCTGCAAAAAAGAAAACACGCTTCAACTCCTCACTTGTTTTCTTACATGCAGCAATTACATGGCAATAGAAAATTATTTCAGAATTGGTTGGATTTGTTCTGTACTTTTACAGTAATATTTAAAGTTCAATTTCTAAGCCAACTTAGATTCTTTATTTCATACAACATTTACTTCCACAAAGTAGCCGTACACAGAGATGGTTATAATGCTGCCTACAGACAATAAAGAACCTAACAAACACATTACACCAAATCAAACTTTGCTTCCATGGGAAGGCTTAAGGCCTTCCATCAGTTGAGAAGTCATGTAACTCTGGATTTCATTTAAACTAAGTCTTAAATATTACCTCAAACAGGGAACTTACCCTGAATCAGGACCTAGGACAGGTCTCACTATACCCAGAATATTCACATCTATTTTGCTAATCCTCTGGGTTTTAGCATTGAAATTAAAGGAAGGATTGTTTTTCCTATTTGAAAAATCAACAGCTCAGCTGATTTTCACACAAAACCACTCAGCAACATTATTTATTACTTTGTTCAATAATATCATTGTTCAGAGAGGAAAAAAAATGCATATTTGGGAAAATCTGAAACATGTATAGAGAGGGGGTTAGTTAGGAAAAAACAGAACACAACTGCACTGAAATATAACCAACCCGGGAAAGAGCCGAGTCAATGACAGAAAACATAACAGCATTTCCGCAAGAGCTAAAACCAATCTTAAAAGACGAAAATAAGCATTTGAAGAAACTTTCAATCTCTCAGAATAAGAAAAATATAATGTGGATATAATGCCACATCTCTCTTTACTGACACAAACATACACTCAAGACAGTCCTCTGTAAAAGAGCTTTTAAAAATAAGTCAGGAGATTTAACACACCTACTATTTTCTATATTTACATCTGTGCAGATGATGTAATGTCAACTTTTAGATAACTGAGGAAAAACCTCAGACATTTACTAAGCTGTTTTGTCCCTGGTTTTTTTTTATTCCACATACTTATAAGGGAGAAAAATTCTGAAGGCCAAATTTTCTCCTGAACTTTGAAACCACATACCACAATCACTGGGTTCACCTATGTGCAAGGTCATGCGTATTTTGGAAATAAGAAGAAAATCTGTGACTTGAAGATCTTTTCATTAAGATGATTAATATTGCAGAATACCTGATGCCACTCTTCCTTTCTAAGGAAAGGGGGGGGGGAGGGCAAAAAAACCACCAAATGGATGCTCATATATTTTAAGAAGCCTTGCACCATCTCCTCCCAAGAGATGTTCTCTCCAATACACACTTAAATTTCTTAGACCTGAAGTCTGTCTATAATTTAATGAAAGTACTGAAATTGATTTCTGGAAACCCACCGAGTCCTTACTGAGACAGAAACATAAGGCAACACTTACATGCCTTCCTGTAATTCATCAAACAATTCAGCTGTTGCACAAACACTGCTCTTGCCAGAGTGCCTCCTATTACTCTTCTTTCCTAGAGCCATACTGCTCTGATATCACATTAGTCGTGTTGACTTCTGCCTGAGTGTGATGCTCTTTTTCTCTTTCATGGCAGCAGTCTTCCACCTTTAGCTATCTATTTTTGTAAGAATCTTCATGCTTGTAATGCAGCAAACCACTGGACCTTCAAATTGGGCAAAGATACTGACAGGGCAGGGAATCTCAAGTGAGCTCACCAACATCATCTGGAAAGTTCAACCCAGGAACAGAAAGGTGATCTGTGCAACCCCAGGACAACAGCCACCCTGTTTTCTTGCCATTACAACTAATGAGAACCAGCAAGTCCATTGCCTAGGCTCCCCCTAAGCAGCTAGTGGTTGTCACTAGATAGCCATCAACAGGCAGGAAAACAAAAATCCACAAACAGTATTTGCTTATACCCACAGTCAAAAAGTAACTAACCCTAAATTTCTACATTTATGACGAGATAGAAGCCTCAAACACAAACACCCTGCTCCAGCAAAATACCAATTGCAGCACATCTCCACCAGGCAAAAATAACTCATGGTTTCAAGATCTGTCTCTGTGTGAATTAGACATCTGATTAATTCAGTATTAACTGAAATGGTTTTGATAAAAAATACTGAACACAGGAACAGGTTTTACAAATGCAAGAGACAAACTCATCAGCAAAAATGGACAAAGTTTTACTCTAGAACTGAGAAAATGAAGACGTAATGGAAGATAAACTGATAAAAACATGATGCATCACACAAGTTTCAGACTGAGTAGAAGTTCCCACACTTAACAACTGTCAAAGGACTGCTATCATCAGATCATGCTTTTCATAAGGTTCCTTTTCCTCTAGCAGAAGTGATGGCTAGAAAGTATTTTCCTTACTGATCCAAGTTCTAATAGGTCTTCAAACATGATTTCCTCGTAAATAATTTCTTTCTTTTGTGCAAGTTCCAGGTAAAAGGGACTTTTTTTTAATTGAACACGGTATTGCCTGCTGAAGACTAAAGAAGCCTTTCAAACACATTTGAAGATCCTCACATACACATTACCACTCAGCTGTTTGTCACAACGTAGTAAGAGCTCTACAAAAATCAAGATGCAAACCACCCCCAGACTACAGACTTGCAACTAATTTGAATTTAAAGCAGAAACAGTAATCAAATAACTACAACCATAAGATTATTTGTCAGGAACTGTCATACAACTTTCAAAATCCATAAATATACAAAATCCCAGGAAAAAGGAAAAAAAACCCACCACAGGAATACGTCAGGAAGTTTCAGGCTGACATACTTCTCAACATCAAACCTTCAAAACAATAAGAAGCCCATTGTATTTTGTAATGTAAATAATATCATAAAAGCATAGAGAAACATCATTTCATGAGGCACTGTACAAATCCACAAACACCACTTTAGAATGAGACCTGGTGCCGCACCCAGCAGAGGAATGACAGTAAAGCAAGGAATTTCAGAATTTCTTTGTCATTAGAAAAACCACTATCTGTGGCATCCCACTCAAAATAGGATCAGTGGAACAATTTAAATTAAAAATAAATAAATAGAGAATGAAGGAGGAGTTAAAGATTAATGGTTCACTAATCCAGTTTAGCCCATGTCCTTACAAACAGCTTAAATAGTTCATAGTGATCCCCCAAAACAGGAGGGAAGCAAAGAGTAAACCACAGAGATTCTTAAACTGATGCACTAAAGAAAACATGGGACTACAACAGAGCTTGAATAACCTACATGGGTAACTGAGTAACTCCTAAAGCTGCTCCTCCTCCTGAGGCCCAGCTTGCCGACCTGCTGGCTAATAGATTTTTCAACACCAGCAACCACCATCTGGCTTTGGTAATGCCCCTTCTTTCCCCTTCCTTGTTTCACACTTCACCAGCCCTCTAAGACTCCACCACAGGGTGGAAAAGGAGCGAAGATGCTACAGCAATCAGTGACCTGAAAAGATTTTATCCATCTGAACTGTGGCAAAACCAAGCTACTCCCACTGTTACACTATGCAGACAGACAGCCTCATTACAGTCTTATATTGCTCTCTCCTTACTTGTTACCACATAATTTAAAAAGACATGCATAAAAGACTTAAGCTCTTAGCCTAAGCTTGCTTATCAAAAGGGAAGTTATCATCTAGGCATAACCTCTGAAGCAATCTCCTTGGCTGAGCGGTGCCCAGGATGTCGAATGCCACTGCTACCAAGACTGCTGGCTCCTCCTGTGGCAGGCAGAGCTCAGCCCACAGCAGTCTCACAGAGTGAGGGACACTCAGTACTGACTGGATAAAATCTCACATAAGAGGCAGGTAATTCTCCAACCCCTCCCTCTCCCCTCTCTTCATTGAACTAACTCTGATGGACTGTATCGCAAGCATAAAGGAAACTACAAACGTGCTCAAAATGACCAAAGAGTTGAAACACATTACATTTAGTCGGAACGTGTAGTTAAAACCAGCCCCTTTTCAGAGCTGTGTTAAAGGTCACAGCACTCCTCTAACAGCCATCTAATACAATTTGCAGCATATGGAACCATAAGGCCTGACGGACTTCCAGTTTTAACATTATTTATGCTACCTTAAACGATGCTGGCATACGTGTCTGTAACTTGGACTTCCTAATTACAAGCACGTTGGAACAGCTAATGCATACACTCCAAGTACCCTATGTTTGAACTAACAATCAGACCTCACTTTATTGAGTGATATCTTACTGAGTCACGTAATACTGAACATAAGCCGTATTACAATGTAGATATGCAGTGTACACAGGAAACCTCTCTGTCTCTCATTTTCATGCTCGTACCTGTATTACTGTTCTTGCTGCTCAACCTGTGAGCAAAAGACAGCTGTGTCTGTCTCGGTCTGATGAGAATTAGGACTTACAAACTCAGAGTTACTACATGGAGTTTCCAACCTGTGTAGGACAGCATTGCTTTGGAAGTATCTGCATGAAGCTATCCATATCAATGGGTACCACTTTTGTACAAGATTATGCAGAAGGGAAAAAAGTTACAGAAACTAAAATGAACTAAAACATTCTTCAGTTCAGTAATCTGCAAAACACTATCTTCTGGAGCTTCCCTCAGCTTTGAGGGGGAATAAAAAGAGTGAATTCTGAAGGTCTAATTTTAGCTCTGTTTTGATTTACCCAGAGAAAAATCTGATTCACTGCTTTCCATATTCCTCTTCAGGACAACAGTCTTCCCAACACAGTAATAAGAAAGTAATAAGGTTGTACAACTTGTAGTTTCAATTACTTATTACCTCCCCCCAATATATAAACAATTACCAGTTTCAACTGAAAAGTCTATTTACTGCAAGTGAAAAAGATGAAATTTTGAATTCTCAACAAAACAAAAGAGGAAAACAAGACCTTTTTAAAGGCCTGGAAATTCAGACTTGAACCCTTCCACCACACACACATCCCTTGCTCCATTCCCTTCCCTTTTTTGACTATGCCATTTGCAAAGTTCTGTTTACAACCTGAACCATGGGGGAGTGCAATTTATGATTGCTATCACTATTATTAGGTTCATGTAACCATGCTAAGTAGTAACATATTTCCTGTCAAACCTTCATGTGTGGTCATGAAATAAGCTAGACCTGTACTGAAACCTCTTAAGACATACATTGTGAATGCAAGCTATGCCTGCCAATCATATACATCCTCTCAGGTAGCTTATAGCAACAGAAGCAACACATATCCAGATGGATTGCTTGCAAGTTTCTAATGCAAATTCCCAAGAAAACTTCTACATGACTGTAATAATTCGATTTTCCCTGATGAGTACTTTGTTTCTTTATAAGTATGTTCCTAACCCCAGATTTTTTTTTCCTCTTCAATACATCAATCATTCATTCTAACTCACATCCTGCCATGAAAAGTTTCCATTCATGTAAAAGTTCTATCTAGTACAGAACAGCACCATGTGGCTTAAGTTGTCATTAATTTGAAAGGGCAAACTTGATTAAAAAAAAAAAGTCCCAGGGATACTTTGCAAACAACACTTTTTAAAATTGAACCACAGTCTTATGCATATGCTGTCAATTCACTATTTGGTTTTAATTTTTAGAAAGAGACTGCAGTGCTGCAGCCCTAAAAATTATGCAAGACTGAGAACTGTACAGGAACTTCTCCCTGCATACTAGCTAGAAAAAAGTCTTTGAGCAGCTATTTCAGAAGTAGAGTCTAGCTCAATTTTCCTTCTATGACAATAAAGAGGAAGTCAGAAGCAGCTACCCTAGTTACCAGAAAAAGTGCCTGATAAAAGAACTTGAAGTCACACATCACTGATTTTAAAGAATCGTTAATACTGCCACCTTCATTTGTTCGTTGAATCCACTGATCTGCTCAAAATAATAACAAAACAAAGACATCCAGAAAGCTCTACTGATTCTGATTAAGTGGTTTGTTGCTTTCACCCTGCCAAGCAGCTTCTTTCTTTAAATTCTTGTGATATACCCTGTTATTCATCCAATCCATTCAGTCTTGGTGTACGTTTATTGTATACATGATATCTTCAAATAAAAAAATTATATTAGATAGCATGAAATCAAAAGATTAACTTTGTGTTCTCCACATAGAGACACTCTTACAGGAATCTGTTAGCACACAG